CCAGATTCAGGTCCAACAATCAAATCCAGCTTTGCTAGCACCTCTATGGCAAGTGATGTTCACTTTTCCATCTTCCTTTCTCTTCCAATGTCAATAATTTCAACAATCAGGAAACAAGATGTGATCAGCTCCACCCAGATAAGAATAAGCAAGTGATGTGGATTATTAAGACTAGAATGAGAATACAGAAAAATGAGCAGATGTCCCTGACAGTTGAAGCTGGCACAGATTTCTCTCCAGGACATGTCCACCAATCAACCTCTATTAGGTAAGTGAGGCTGGCGTGGCGTTACTGGACTTGAACACAGCATATGGCTAAGACCTTTGATCCATTTATGGACAAGCTATATTGGATTAGATAAGAACATAATTAGATATAGTCATAACTGGCTGGACAATCATAATAAAACATTCCAACTGATGGGGACTTAGTAGTCTTGTCTTCACAAATTTACATAAAACTGCCCAAGGTAAGCATATCAAATTTTGAGGTGACTGCAAGGAATACTGTATATGAAGTAAGATTATTAAATTATCTCAGTGGAGTGGATAATAACACCATATTATTATCAAAATAATTTTAAATTGGTTATATTCTATATGTCAAGCTAACAAAGGGTTATAAATATATATGTGTATATATTTAAGATTGAATACATTATAGTATGTTTGTAATGTTTGTATTCCAAAAAGTATGTCCCATAGAAATTACCTATTTGCATCCTCATCACCACTGCGTAGATCCACACCATCCACTACGTTAACCACCAGCTGCCACATGTGGCTTCTGAGCAACTGAAATGTGTCTGCTCTGAACTGAGACCAACTGGTAAATTTCACACCAAACTTGGAAAACCAAATATAAAAAAGGAAGTCATTATCTCATTAATAACTATTATACTGATTGCATATTGAAGTAATGATAACAGAAGATATATTATTAGAGTTAAATACACTTATTTTTTCCTTTTCGTTAGATGGGGTTACAAACCACTTTAAACTAGCCATGTGGTTTGCATCATCTCCCTCCTCAGATCAGCACAGACATCTCATTGTGCTGTTTACCCAGTTTCCAGGCGTCTCCTACACCCCGATGCCCAACTCATCCTTTATCATCCATCGTCTTTAAATGCCCCCAAATTTGACTACATTGCCCATTCTCTGCAAATCCTAAATCCCTTCCTTTGCTTTTTGTGAGCCCCCATGGTCTGCCACCCCCCAGTTCCCACACCTTGCCCTTTCTCTGCACGTCTCCTTCACTTTTCTTGCTCTTACTCCCTGATCACTACATTAGAGTCACCTTGAGAGCTTTAAACACATCAATATTCAGGCCCCATTTTCAGAATGTTCAATCAGGAGCTCTGGCTGTGTGGCTGAAGCTTCTGAACGCATTCTCAGCTCTTCTGGATCACTCTAACAGGCAGCTGGGACTGAGAATCAGTTGTTAAATAGACTCCAACTTTCCACCTTCTCCAACAGTACCTGTGCTCACCAACATGGCTGAAGGAAACACCAGGGTGCTGACTGGTCTCCTTCAACACCACTGACTAGAGGGGGTCTTCAGCTGCCCAGGAATCCCATAATTTTCCTCTCATCTATTCAGGATTTTTCTCTCCCAGAGAAATCTCTTTCTCCTCCATCCTCACCCTCAGCCATGACCTGGCTTCCCACTTCACGAGAAAACAGAAGTTAGTGAAGACTTTCCACAAGCTCCCTCTCTCACATTTACCCATCCCGCTGCCTGTGGGTCATCACGTTAGTCTACCTTCTCCCATTTTTCTAGTGCAGGCTGCCCAATAGAATGTTCTATGGTGATGAAAATGTTGGTGCTGGCCAGGACTGTAGTCACAAGCCACGTGTGCCTATGAAGCACATGAAGAGAGGCTAGCACAGCTTAGGAACTAAATTGTATTTAATTTTAAAATAATTTAAATTTTACTTTCATTTTTTAATAATTGAAAATAATTTGTATGTAGTTGGTGGTTACCCTTAAAGGCAACACATTGCAGATGATGTTCCCACAAAAACCAAATTCTCTACCTCCATTCTGTGTATATTCCCTTTTATCTACTCTAGGATGTGGTTTTCAGCAATTCTGCCCTCTCTGCTGCTCTGTGAATCCTCCTTCGTCATTGGATCATCCCCCTCAGCACCACAACATATTATAATATCTTCCATTTTAAAAAATAACAAAAAAAGTAAAAGCTTGCTTGATATTCTCTTTAACTACCATACAGTTTCTCTCCCCTTTTGCACCACAAGCCCACAAAGGAATATTTTAATAACTGCTGAATCAATTATAAAACTATTTTAGAACTTTATATATGAATTTGGAGGGTGGGGACACATTTTAGCCCACAGCAACCTTCCTGACCTCACCTTCTCTAGTAGCCCCTCAAGGGCGGTTTGACTGTTGCTCAAACAGTGAAGCTTATTCCTGCCTCTAACGTGGTTTTCTATGCCAGCGTCCTCTTGCCCCACCAGTGGCAAGTCCTCCCTCATTTCCTTTAAATGTTGGCTCAAAGGTAACCTTATAGCTGAGGCTTTCTCCGATCACTCTAAATATAATAGCAAGTCTCCAGCCTTCTGACCAAATCCATATTCTCCATTTTCCCTAGTTCCCCTTAACTTTTCTCTGTAGTCTATATCATTATGCACGAGATTTTATATGTGTGTATATGTGTATATATATATATATATAAATTACATGCTAATTTTTTATCTCCCTAAACTTAGTGGGTGCACATTAAATGTTAGTTGAATGAGTACAAAAAACAGAATATATTCATCTGCAGAAAAGAAACATTCAAAGTTCAGCATCGTTAGGGATCTGCCAACTGTCTTCTATAAGCTGCAGTTTAGAAAATTAGATGTTTAAGTCTGAGAGGAAAAGCCTAAAGGAATATTGCATAAATGTTTCAAAACTTCTCAAGGAGTGTCGTGTGATGAAAGCACTTCTCATCACTCTACATGGCAGAGTTAGGACTAAAGGACAGACTCAAAGAGAGGTGTAAATTATGGCTCAATCCAACAATAGCAACATTTTATGGGAAGGTTTTTGTTTCCTCAACATGACCCCCAATAATAGAAAATAAGGAAGCAGGACCTCCCTTGTGGTCAGGGAGCTATCCACATGGCGCAGCAGACCTCTCCTGCCTTGCCAGCTGCCCCTCAGCAGTGTATCTCAGTAGATCTGCCTGCTCTGCTCCCCACTCTGTCTCTGGTGAATCCTCTCACCCCCTGTACCTCTGGCCTATACCCCAGTTCTTGTAAGCATAAATAAATCAATCTTTGGGAAAAAAAGAAAATAAGGAAGCAAAAACCAAACAACTATCTCAAGAGTATTGCAGATAAGACACCTGTGTTCATGGGACAATCAAACAGATGATTCCTGAGTTGGGTTCCAACTGCAAACTTCTAGGGAAAAAAACAACGATGAGGGAAAAAATGAGGATGAGGGAAAAAACTCACCATTTTATGAAATATGGCTGGTCTTAGGCCCTCACCATTTTCATGATTGAGGCCTGATGAGATGGCCAGATCTGGGGAGCATCACAAGATGAAATGAGAATGTGAAGGCAGAGAAAAGAGAGTTAAGCTTTATCAACATACACTTTCGCCTGACCAAATGCAAGTCAGCCCACTTTTCCATCAGCCAGTGACTCCCATCAAATGGAAAGTGTGGTCTCCATCAGCACGCTATCTGCTTCAGCTCTAACCTCTGTAATTCTACATTCTTTTTCAACTCATAGGTACTGGAAGTGAGTTGGTGATGAATGGATATTTTAGGATGGGGGTGGAAACACCTGAGCATGTTCAGATGGAAGAAGAATCAAGTTACATCCAATACTTTCCTACCAGAGGAGCTCAGAAAGGAAAGAAAAAATCCTGTGGGTCAGCCGTCCAACAAGGATAAGAAAGGTGAGCGAGTTCCAAGCTTGAAAAATCAGGATGAAGCTGTTACTTATAAGAGAACTGCTTCTCAGTCCCAGGGGACTCGTTCAGCACTAATCATGCTCTACCTCAGTTCAGACTAAATTTTACACTGAGCGAATTCCAAAAGGAACTAAGCCCATGATTGAATCCACAGCACTAGCCTTGCCCAAGCTTCTTCATCTTGATTGAAAAACTGCCTCTTCCTAGGAGTAGAATTATTGAGAATAAGACAGCATTAAATACTTGAGTTACTCCAGCTCCGTTCTGATATCCTGCTCTAATTTCCAGTCACAGTCTACATATGACTTTTGGGTTATTTAGAGATTCTGGTAGAAATCACTGAACAATGTTGATAGAGTCTGATTTCAAAAAATAATAACCCGAGTAGCTCCCAAGTAGCTGAGGCTGACATGGTACAAGTGACTTTAAGCAAATCCTATAACTGTTTTCTTATGGAGGCCAAAATTAGTACCAAATTTGGTGTTTTCTAAGATTCGATCAGGGTTATGGTTCTAGAACTATCTGAAAGCCATGATCTATGTTTTTGTCATTTTTCTAGTTTATTTCCATCTCACTTAACTCTTTCTCTGTGATAGGAAATGGGTCTTACTGGTTTCCCTATTTATTTAGCCAGTGTCTCTTACCTGATTCCACATACTCACCAGAACAAGGCAGTGATTTGGACCCTTGGCTCTGCGAGGTTTAGATCACTGAATCTGTTTTCACTGGTAGCTGGAAAACAGAAACAACAACATTCCTTTTCAGACTTGGCTCGCTAAACCTTTCCTTAAGTTCCTTTTTGGTATAATAATGAGGACTTTAAAGGAGGTACATTTAAATGAAGTACATTTGGCACAATGATGAGGACTTTACAATGCCTGTCAGCCTAATATTTTTACTTTCTTCCTTTATTAATTTATCAACAGGGTCTATTGATGCCATTAGAGCTAAGTTAATTTTTCAATAAGGACAAACAGAAAAGCTATGAAAATCCTGGGTTGGGGTTTTGTTTTGTTTTCTCTTGTTTACCAGAGAGTTCTGTGTGTCATTATGCCTTTGCTTTCCATGTATACTTTTTTTTTTTTTCTCAAAGATTTATTTATGTATTTATACAAGCACTGGGTACAGTCAGAAGCGCGGGAGGGTGAGAGAATTCACCAGAGCCAGAGCGGGGAACAGAACAGGCAGAAGGACGGAAGTACACTGCTGAGGGGAGCAGCGGGCAGCAGGAGAGGTCTGTGCATCATGTGGGACCCTCCTCCGGTGGCCAGGAAGCAGCCGGGGATCGAACTGGCGTTGCAGAGGCTGCAGGCAGCTTCGCAACCCAGCGCTCAACTGCTGCGCCACCGCCACCAGGGAGGCCCTCCCTGTGTACTTTATAAGGAATTTCCACAAAGTCTTCTCCAAAATTAATCCAATATCTCCTTCAATTCCCCTTCCTGAAACAGTTCACTCATCTTCATAGAGGTTCTGGGTTCATCTTGAGGATCTCTGACCTGAACTATTAAGGGCAGTGCAACAAACATAAGCCTTGTCTGAAAGGTAATTTTTGTAAACTTAATACTTCCTCTTTTCCTCTTAATACTTTCCTCCTTTTTCAGAAGAAAATGTAAAGAGAAGCAGTCTCAAATGTAAATTGGATTCTGGCCTGTTTCTCCCCCAAACTAGGAAGAAGCTGGCCATACAACATGTATTATAAATATTCGGAGACTCTAATCCGGTATCTTCCATGTAACACACATTTGAACTCCTACTTTAAACTTTCAAGGTGCTTTTTATGGCATCTGTTATGTCCTACTTTAAAATGTCTGTCAGCCTAATATTTTTACTTTCTTCCTTTATTAATTTATCTTCAAGGTCATGCGTGGAAATACCTTTCAGTGGAAAGAGTCCATCTGCTTTGACAAAAATGTACTCTACAGACCTTTTTTACAAGGGTCTTAAGAGAGAAATCTGAGAGTCTGTTAGAATGTCTGCAAAACAGAATTCCCTAAAGCTCACTTGGTGTGGCATTAGTAGTGTCTGGGGAAGCAAAAACAGAAATAAAAGCCAAAAGCACAGGGAAGAATGGTGTATAATGGTGTATAATATATATATATATGTGTGTGTGTGTATACATTGCATATATGTATGTATATATCTTTAATACAATATATTTTAATATTAAAATATTTTAACAATAATTTTAAATGTAGTTTAAAATTTAAATTTTAAATAGAATTAAAATATATTTTTAAAATATAAAATATATATCTTAATAATATTCAAAATATGGTAGCATTTTTATGGGTTGTAGGCATTTTAATTTGTTCCATTTTATTTAACCACTTATTTTTCAAACTTACTTGATTACAGAAGCTTTTTCATATTTGTATGTAACATTTAGTGACATACTCTGAACCAGGGTCCTGTGGGATATGGCCTGGAACTTGTGCCAGAAGATGTTATTATTCATTTTCCAACTGTTATTACTTTCATACATTCTGGGGTCAGAAACCTTAAAGATTTAAATACAACTCACTTCTTTCTCACATAGGATTTACAGGGGTAGCTCTTGTTCATCTCTCAACTAAGTAACCTTCCAGTCTCAGTTTGTTCTTATAAGTAAACACAAAATGTATGCTTTATTGTAACAGGTTAACTCCATCTGAGTAGTTTTCAGCTTATCTGAGGAGAAATCACCCATATGGAGAAATACCCCATTACCACAGAAAACTACCACAGCCACATCTCCAACACACAGCTCTCATTAGCCTTCCCTTCATTGACCATATTCAAGTTACTTCCTGTTGTATGTATTACTGAGCCCCAAATATAAGCCAACTAAAAATTGAATTTGCTATTTCCTTCATTAAAATAAAATTATCATGAATGGTGGGACAGAACTGGGCACGGGCCCTCCCATCTGGCTGAGTAAACCCTCTCACCTCATCTGGGACATGGAAGGTGAACCCAACACAACTCACAAGTGTTGAGTGAGATCCTGGATATAAAGCTCTTGCCTGACCCACAATAACATTTAGGACTTATTAGTAAGAAAGTGGCCTACCATGAAATTTTGTTATTGGGGCCTCCCTGGTGGCACAGGGGTTAAAGACAGCGATATCAAGCTATCCCCAGCCACCGCAGCACGAGTTTGATTCCCCAGGTGGCCAGGTAGGTGACCCACATGGCTGCAGACCTCTCCTGTCTCGTCCGCTGCTCCCCTTAGCCGTGTTTTTGGTCCCTCTGCCTGTTCTGCTCCCCACTCTGTTTCTGGCGAATCCTTTCACCACCACCACCTCTCCCCCACACCTCTGGCCTACACCTCAGCTCTAGTATGCATAAATAAAATAAATCTTAAAAAAAAAAAACCCTCTCCAGCATCTCTGCTTCACCCTTCCCAGTGCTCCATGGAGGCAACTGATTTCCTTCAGATGAAATCACATATACATGCACAAATGCTTTATAGAAAGTTGTACTTATTGATCTATAGTTTTCTGAAGCCTTATTCTCCTCAATCCTGATATTTTTTCCTCACATAAATTCTTTTTAAAAAACATTTATTTATTTATTCATATAAGAGCTGGGGTACAGGCCAGAGATGCAGGGGGTGAGAGGATTCACCAGAGACAGAGTGGGGAACAGAACAGGCAGATTGACCGAAGTACACTGCTAAGGGGAGTAGCGGTCGAGTCAGGAGAGGTCTGCTGCACCATGTGGGTTGTTCCATGGCCGGCAGGGATGGAACTTGTGCTGCAGAGGCTATGGATTGCCTCATAGTGCTGTGCTTAACCCATTGCGCCACCAGGGAGGCCCCTTCTCACATAAACTCTACGTGAGTGAATGTATCAGTGTTTTACTCTACCCACAGTGGAAGTGTAAAAATTTTTGATTGATACACCAATATTAAATGTTTTCATTACTAAGAATTATGTTTAACTGGAATAAATGACATATGGCAGAAAAAAAAAAGTCCATTGAGGGTTATATCAAAGCTGGGCGTTTTATACATTTGTTTTGTCCTTTAACATGTGGTTTATTCATGTGACACAGATACTTAAGGCTGATCAGCTGGGATTTTTCCATTCACTTTAAGTTTATGTAACACTTTTCTGACTATCGTCATCACTAGGATTTTAAAAGCTGAGTTACCCATGGAAGTATCTAGAACATCACTCTCCTTAAAGCGAGGAACATGAAACACTAATCTCTAGGCGTGATTTGTGTGGAGCCAAAGAGGTCTAGTTACCTTGGAGCACAAACATCACTCATCCTCAATGTTTGTCATCAGCACTACGTGTTGGCAAGGGCCCCAGGCCACAGCCATCCCGGTCAGAGCTGTGGCTTCCAGCATCTGCTGTGGGTAGTGACACTGCTTGACCACGAAGCGTTGTCTTCCACTCTGTAGGAGGTTATCCCCATATAACTCTCTCAGCACCTCTGGCAAATAGCCTTCCCAAACACCATGCCATCTGCAAACCAGGTGTCTGTCTTTCACATACCCGGCACATGCCCATGGGAATAGTCAGCGTTTTGCCTAAATCATAGCATACTGCCTAATTCTAGAGCTCTATCCCTTTGCTACCACTCAAGACAGCATATAGGAATACAGAGTAGTCGCCTGATATAAGGATAACTTTGCGTTTGCTCTCCCTTATGTTAAGAAGAAAAATCACTCGAAATGTGGAACTTTTATTAGCAACACATTTCTTAGGGACTGCCCCTGGCAAGGTCATTGCAAGGTCAAAATCAGGACTATTCTGTCACTTCTGTAAGTTCCTGTTCTCTTAAGAAAATAACATATTTCTATTATTAATCCAGCACTGTGCCACGAGCCTTCTTAGTTCGTCCCTTCATTGGGTGATGTTCAGAAACAGAAACTCTGGAAGTTTCCCTATCTATTTCTAAAATAGTGATATGTAATGGTTAAGCTTGCTCGAAGCCTCAGTCCTTGTCCACCATCAGATGTTGTTGCACTGTAACTAAAGTTCCCTAAAGGAGAAAACCAGAGTAATATCCAGAAGTTTCCACTAAATCTTCCTGCTACCGGATTAGTTTACCCATTTCTACCTCTGAGGTTGGCATATATGGCCGATTTCTTCCTCCTCTCTGGTTCTTCCATTTTAGTCTACAAAAGTGGGAATACTCTTTTAAATGAGTCATTGTGACAACCTTGGAATTATCGTCATTCTTCAAACAAGTTCTGTGAACTTCCTTGCCAATAGTGGTCAGTGGTTGACCATTTAACTTTGTTGTCCTATAGCGTTACAACTGAAACACATTAAGTCCATTTGTAAATTATCATTTACTTGAATCTGAAGGCTATGCTTGCTGTAGTTTTATGTAATAAGAGAAGAAAAGGAACTTATATTTAAAGCATTTATTATTTGAAATATATGAACACTTCACAGATGGACTAGTGAAGTCACGATTCATGAAAAAGTTGTGATTTAAGAGAGAGAGCAAATAAAATGTCACCTCTTCTGCTTACATGAAGGCCTCTTAGATATATGTAGTTAAATGTAGGTCTTAATGGCTAATTATTCATTTAAATTTGGCTTTGCATTTATTTATTTAAAAGAAAAAAAACTTTGTTCTATGAAAAAAATCTTGCCCTTCATTAGCAGGAAGGACTTTAGTATAAAAAGCTTGAGTGACATTTACATTATAGATTTCTGTAGCTATTAAAGACTATAGTAAAAAAAAATAAAGACTATAGTCAAGATAATTTAATAATGGCCTTCAATCTTTTTTTTTTTTTTTTTTTTTTTTTTTTTTTTTTTTTTTTATTTTAAATTTTTTTTTTTTTTTTTAATAGAGGCATGCTTTATTTATTTATTTGTTTGTTTGTTTTTTTTGTTTATACATGCACTGGGTACAGTCAGAAGCGCGGGAGGGTGAGAGAATTCACCAAGCCAGAGCGGGGAACAGAGCAGGCAGAAGGACCGAAGTACACTGCTGAGAGGAGCAGCGGGCGCAGGAGAGGTCTGCGCGCCATGTGGGACCCTCCTCTGGTGGCCGGGGAGCAGCCGGGGATCAAACCGGCGCTGCAGAGGCCGCGGGCAGCTTCGCAACCCAGCGCTCAACCACTGCGCCACCGGGGAGGCCCATGGCCTTCAATCTTAAAAAGGATAGAAGGGGACCTCCCTGGCGGCCTAGGGGTTAAGTCTCAGTACTATCACCATGATGGCCTAAGTTCCATCCCTGGCCAGCGAGTGACCCACATGGCGCAGCAGACCTCTCCTGTCTCACCCGCTGCTCCCCTCAGCAGTGTATTTCAGTGAATCCACCTGTTTTGTTCTCCACTTTGTCTTTGGTGAATCCTCTCACCTCCCCATACCTCTGGCCTACACCCCAGTTCTTCTATGCAAAAAAAAAAAAATTTAAAAAAAAAAAGGTAGAAGGACATAAAAGAGAATAAAACTCAGGGCTAATTATGGTCTTCAGAGAAGAATCATTGTAAGGTTCTGGAAAGGATGACAGGCCAAGAAACCTGCGGACCTCTCAAACATGTCAGTGTCTGCCATCAGACCTAAGACCAAGCAGAGTTCCACAGAAGGGACTGTGACTCCCAACATTACTGGAGGTCTGGAGTGGCCATGTGTTCCTAACATCCATCTCACTTTGTTTTAGTTGGTTTCAAAAGGGCATGAATAGAAGGTGGAAAGAAACCACTCTCAGGAATGGATATGAGGGCAACTTAAAATGTAAGAATCAACAGCCCGAAGACAGAATGCACTGTCTGAAGAGCTAGTGAAAATCGCTCAGATGAGACCTTTAACCTTAGGCTGGGACACTGTTGGGGAGATCCCAGCAGGTGGGTGGTGGGTCTTTCCCCCAGCTATGGGGTGCTAACTAAGGATGTTCCTGCATTTCCTTTCCGGGACATCTGGAAGACATGCTGGGGCAAAAATGTCCTTCAATGCAGAACAGAGTTAGTGGCTGAGAAGTAAAAGCCAGCAGGATCGGAGCAGCGATGGAAAAGGAGAAACTGCAAGGAGTGATCTCCATTCTGGCAGAGTCATCAGCTAATCATCTTCCCCGGGGGAACATCCCATCCTGGGGATGCGTGAGTGTGGAGAACATCATCAGTGGAAGGGGAAACAGCTACATCTAAGAACTTTTATTTTTATAAGTGATAACCTCACTGCCTGATTTTTGAATTTCATGCTCAATAAAAGCCCCTTATTCTTAAAAAAAACTGCTTCCCCCCTCCTAGCACTGGGGGCTGGGCATGTAATTTCTGCAGCCACACAGGGCCCTGAGGTGCGTTTCACATTCGACTGCTGCCAACTTAAAATTCTTCATTTGGGAACAAAGGGTCCCCCGCTTTCATTTTGCACTGGACCCCTTAAAATATATAGCTGGTTCTGCTGCCTCCATTCTTGAAGTGGGACCCCTCCTTGCATTCAGATGTCTTCAATTGCTCACACAAACTGAGCAGGGGTGCTGGTGGTGGTGGGTAATGTGTTTGGGAAGCTACGGGGTTTCCCTCTCCCTGAGGCTTTTCTCTGCCCTTCCAGCTTCATGTCCCTTGCTGTGGGATTTGGGATTAGATCCTTGGCTTCAGCTTCCTGACTTATAAATGAAAATATTACCAGTAAGAGTCTTGGTGGTTTGTGTAGGAATAAATGCCGTAAAGCCTGTCAACATACATTGCAAGTAACAGATATTTGTCATTATTTTGCTGAGAACATTCAAAAGACATTCAGGGGGAGAAGTGATTCCAGGATTGGGACTGCCTGTCTAGGGGGCAGAAAGATGGAAGACAACGTTTAGGGGAGCAGGCAGATTATTGGGGACTTGCAGCCCCTGCCTGAGCCAGGGTTCCACAGTGCCAGGGAGCAGCTAAGCGAAAAGCCAGGCTTTTCCGGAGACCCTAATAAGAGGCAGGATTCATGTGATGGTTCACGCACCCCGCCACCCCCACTGGCTTGGTGACTGGCGCTCCTATTGGTCAAAGCAGGAGATACATCCAGGCAGTTCCAGACCTTTCTAAACTAAGTAAACACTAATTGGGCCCGGGATGGCTTGTGTTTAATTTAGGAGAAAGTGACTTTGCAAAAGGTTCATTTCTGTCATTTAAGGCAAACACAATGAAGAACAAGGACAGAGCTGGACGTCTGGATTCTTCCTTATGGGGGTCGAATAAGAATCATCTCTTCAGATTCCTTTTCTCTCCACTTCCACTTGATCCCCCTCTCAGATGAATCGAAGATTACATCCCCGCCTATTAATTAATTAATTAATTAATTAATAAAAAAAATCAGCTGACCGTTGCTTTCTCTAAAAACCCATAAAGCCCAAAATAACACCCCCCCACGCCCCGCACACGCACTCACACACCCCAAAATTAAGAAACCCTTCTTTCAAGGAGAAGTTAAGTGGGTAGCCAGCCTGTCAGGTCCGGCGCTTTCTCCTTCGGTTCGTTCCAAAGATAGAAAGTCCAGGTTGCTCCTGGAGGCTGTGGACGGAAAAAAATGAGGTTTGTGCTCCTGCAACCAGCAAAGAAATTCTATTTCCCACTGCTGGCCTCGCTCCATCCTCTTCCAAACCGCCGCCCCCACCTCTCCAAACCGAGACAGAAAATGAAATGCGGCTAGAAACGCACCCCAGCAGCAGCTCTTTAAACCGGCACCCCGGGAGGCCTGCGGGGTGGGATGAGTCAAGCTCTCGGGGACGAGCGGGGAGCGCTCCCGACTTTTCTGGAGCCCCAACGTCCTACGACTCACCTTTTCCCTGCTCCTGCACCGTCCAGCCCCCCCGACTCTCCCTCCTCCGGCTCCCGGGGCCCCGGGGTCGGGAGGCCCAGGAGCGCGCGGGGTGCAGGAGGAGGCCGGGGGGCTGCACCTGTGGGTGCCGGAGGCTGGGGCTCCCCGATTCCTCGCGCCCCCGCCCCCACGCCCGCGCGGGCGCAGCTCCCCGGCGCCTCCGCTAGGGGTCCCCCTCGGGTGCCGAGCGGGGTGGGCCGGATCAGCTGACTCGCCGGCTGCGAGCCCCGCCGCGCGCTCCGGCTCCGTCAGTTTCCTCGGCGGCGCAGGAGCGAGCACCCCAAGCGGCGCGCGGGGTCACCCGACACGGCGGCGGCGGCGCGGGCAGACCCAGGGCGCGGCGGACCCCACTCGCACGGCAGCGCACTCGGAGCCCCGCGCAGGGTCGCGATGCTGCCCGCTTTGGCGCTGGTCCTGCTGGGCGCCTGGACGGCTCGGGCGCTGGAGGTGGGTGCTGCGCCCCCGGGCGCGGGTGGGGGAGGGCTCGCCCCTCGCGTCTTTCCTCCGGGGAAGTCGGGGCAGTCGAGGCGACTCCTTACCCTCCGCGTCCCGCGCCCCGCCTGCGGGCGCCCTGCGCATCCCCGCCTCCCACCAGCCCTGCCCGGGACGCGCGCTCCAGCCCGGGAGGGAGGCGGCGAGGAGTCGGGCGCCCGGGTCCGCGCGCCAGTCGGGGGCGAAATGGGGTGCGGGAGAGCCTGGGCGCAGACCCTGGCTCGGGCGCTTTGGGGGGCAGGGACCGCGGGTGCGGGGAGGCGCCGCTTCCAGAAGGGGAAGGGAGAGGGAGCACGTGGGGGGGACCCGAAAACGAGGGACTCGTCCTCAGCTCCGGATCGCTGCCCTGCGCTTCTCCCCGGCCGGGGAGGAGGAGCCGGGAGCGCCCGGGAAGCTGTACCCTGCCCCCTCCCCCTCGCCCGTGCCTGTGCCTGTGCCACCCCGGTTCACCTTCCCCGCACATCCTCGGCTCCCCTGCCCTGCCCGACCTCCGCCCGCGCTGCCCTTCCCGGCTGCTCGCGGCCGCCCGAGGGGGACCCCGCAGGGGTCGCGCACCGCCCTCCGCGGGCAAACTTTGTAGGTTTCAGCGTCGCCCTTTTGTGTAAGTTGGGAGGGAAGGGAGGGGTCGGGGAGCCCCGGTCCCCGCGCGCCCTGCCCCGCGCCCGGCCGTCCAGGGCGCGCGCTCGCGCCCACGGCGCTCCCCGGAGAGGAACAAGGTCCCGGGGAACAAAAGCCGCGACACCCCGCCCTCGCCTGCTCGGGGCGCGGCGCCCGGCCGCGCGGGTCTGTGCGCCACCGAGGCTCCCGCCTGCGCCCTCCCCGGCGCGGCCGTCCTGGAGGGGGCTGGGGCGCTCCCGGCCGCCCCTCCCGAGCCGCGGGGCCCCTCGGCGCCCCCCACCCGCGTCCCCTCCCGGGGCGCCCGCGTGGTGCGCCCGGCTGCGGAGTCCTTGGGGAGAACCCGCGGGGACTGGGGTGTGCGTCTGGAAAGGACAGTGGCGGCTGCTGGGGAGGCGAGGGCTCTCCCCTCCTGGGCATCCGACCCGGCGGTTGTCTGATTAGGGCGCGGCCTCCTCCCTGGCATCTCTGGGTGCCCGGGGTTCGCCCCCCTGGGGACGCGCTGCTGGGGAGGGTCCTCGGGGGCTTATTTTAGGGTGCGAATGAAAGGATTGGGTTGAGTGAAGATTAAGACGGAGAAGATGGCGCCTCTGCAGTGCAGCAGAGAAAAGCTGTGTGGAGGCTGCAGCCTGGTGAAATCCACCCACCGCTAGGTGTATAACAAGTCTTCCCATTCATCCAACTCTGGAAGCTTCAGCTCACGCCCGTGCAAAAATGACTGTTTTTTCTCTTATCTAAAGATGCTTGGAAGTTGTTTGCCCGACATTTGGGGCGCTGGGGGTTCCGTGAGGTATATTATCTCTTGCAACCTCGCCTTCCTATTTTTTTTAATTTCTCTTTTCCCCCTACCTCGTGGTAATTTTCCAAAAAAGCAATTTCCGGATAAATGTTTTCCTGTAACTCTACAGACTCTCACACCACTATGGTTGTTTTGCCCCGAATTTACAAGGTCATTGAACTTTTGTACCGTCTGTCTTTTACCTACAAGTGGCCCTGGAATCACCTTAAGTTAAGACAGGGTGTCTTTTAAGAGTTGAGGAATTTGGTTTTTCATATTTTTTAAAAAAGCATTTAATTAAAGGAACTCTGATTTCTCCAAAGACTTAAATTTGTATCTACACCCATTTCAGTATTCCTGCTTGTTTTTATATTACATAGTAAAAAGCACAAATTAAATAATTAGAGGCATCTCATAATCTTTATAATGGAAGCTTCTGTCAAAAAGTAGATAATTTTAACTTAGGGAGCAATTTTTTTCCCTGCAAAAAGCTGCAAGGTGTAAGCAGATATGATTCAGATGGATTATTTATTTATTTATTTATTTATTTATTTATTTGCCTGTTTGATAGCATTTCTTTGCTGTGTCTACCATCCTTTGGGCATATTCATGGATAATTACCAACTCCCTCAAAGGGTGAGGGTGAGATTCACATTAGACAATTTGGCAAATGTTGGTAGAAAGGTAGGTAATTCCCTCTAGTTAATGAGGCATGAGGTGCATTTATCCCACTGTATCTAGGTCCACTGAAAAGATGTCATTATGAGTTGAGTGTCTTTTGTAGGACTTAGAAAATAGGTCTGCTGCAGGTGGCTCTGAAAAGGAAATAAATTAAGGGCGATGATCATGGGGCCTGGGCTTTGGGGAGAAGGGCTGATGAATTTGCCTGGCTGTGGATAGGTAGGAGTTAAATAAAAAAGCCCTGACTTGCTTAAACTTGCTTCCTCTTAAATCTTATTTTCCTATATGGGGTGGGGGTGGGGGGAGTTAGCATAATCACAGTTAGCTGCCTGGTGCTGCCAGTTCAGAGCTCAGACAAGCCTACCTATACTGGCTAGGACTGTCCTAACAGGAGATGCTCAGGCGCAGAGCTGTGAAGCTCAGATTCCATGGTGATCTATCAGCAATCACGATTTCTTGTTAATCAGTGGGAAGCCATGATAACTGGCAGGGCACAAAAGCTTCTCAAGGGTCACCCTGATAGCAGCATAAGGGCCAGAGAGGCACTGGCTATTACTACTGCAAAAAAGGACTCCAGGTAGAATAATTGTCCTGGTGCTGGCAGGGGATATGAAAGGGAACAAGCAACTAAATAGATCACAAGGTTAAAAGGTAGGAATGACTTGTTTTAAAAAATGAAAAATAACATGGTCCATTGACTATTCATTTGAAGAACTAGGGAGAGGCTATCTTCTGGAGGAGACTTTCCCCCTCTTGCTGGAGGACTCCTATTTTATGTCACTGCTTATGACATACTAGGGCTTCTGCATGATGTTTATATGAAGATGAAGGTTGTCAGTCACTCTAGAAATAAGCACGGCTATTATATGCTGTTCATGTGGCCATGAGACTGTCATTGGAGGAGTGTAATAAAACCCAACAGATCTGTAGATCAGCAGATTTGATCCAGGCAGCACATTTATTACCTTAAGAGACTTACCAGCCATCCCTCATTAATATCTTTCTTGTTTAATCTTTGCCTCCTTATATCAATCACAGGTGCAAAGATGAACCTTGGAAATGTACTTCACATGTAAAGTTTCCAAGATAGAAGGTTTACTTGGATTCTATACACCTCATTACCATCCCCGCCCCCAGGTAGTTTGGAGAATAAATACAACAGGCATATGATTATAAAAGAAAAAAAAAACCTTAAGTACCAAGAGGAAATACAGATTAAGTGGTACACTGAGTAAAAGGGTTGCAGTATAAACACTGTATTTAAGGAATGGCGAAACAATGGAATGAGATAATCTAGAGAAATTCCTGGTGGTTCATTTCCACCCTGATTTGTATCCCAGGTCTGGATAATGGAGGTGAAGTCCTTGCATTTAGAGTATTTGTTTACATTCTTCTCTCCGCCTTTCCTCGCCCAGACAGACACACGTACACACACGTGCACATGTGTGTTTGAAGTGTGGTTGGGGTTGTCTTCATTTTTCTATTGCTATACCTGATTAGAGCTAGGCGGGGTGGAAGGGGGTAAAGTTCTTAAATAATGAAAGATTTTATTAATCCTCCCACCTGTTCATTAGGGATGTCTGTATTGATTCTTTTTGGCCCAGCCCTGTGCCACAGCCTTGAGAATATTGTGGATAAAACAACCTTGTAAAGCTTCCAGTCATACGTGTGAAGGTGCCAGGTGTCCCCTGGAGAGAAGTGGGGTTCAGGTGGGTTGGGTTTCCTCCATGGGGTCCTCACTGAGGGAGGAGTGAGGTACTGGACTGTGAAGGGGAAGGGAAGACAGAAAACATTTTCTTGGTTTAGTTGCTGCTTATTTTCTGTGTTTTGAGCTTGACTGTGAAATGGTTTCCTTTACATAGTAGGGTCCCAGTGACAGGTGCTTGAGTGGGAATGACCTATATTAAAAACCAGCTTCTCCAAACCCTGGAAATGCTGTTCCCTGTGTCTCCCAGTCAGAATACACATAAATTCTATCGAGTGGCTTGGGGGAGAAACCAGATGGTGGGGGCGCAGTGACAGGGAAGGTAAAGGATGGGCGTGCTCCTTGGTGGAAGGGCAAGTTTAAGCAACCCAGTGTCTTTATTTATTTATTTATTTATTATTGGTACCTAAACCCTCAACTGAAAACCATACTGAAGAAGAAATGTTATGTAACTATTTCTGCAGTTTACTGTGGGTAAGTTAGGAAATTCTCTTATCCAGGAGGACATTAGTGTTTATCTTGGAAAAAGGTGGTGAGTTTGTGTCTTTTGATGAATCCCGAGGAATGGATGTGCTTTACTGGTGATTTTGGAGAAGCAGAAATCCACCAACAACTGGATTAGAATGACTGTTCTAAGAATAAAATAATTCATTTTTAAATAAGCCTTTTGGCATGTTCATCAAGTAATAGTGCTATGAAGAAATGCTTTATAGATTCATTAGCTAGTTGTTCAATTGGGGTGACTATAGACATAGGGAGGGTAAGAGGGAGGGTAAGAGGGCAATTTATATATTTAATTTATTTAAAAAATTCTGTTTGTGTGATTACATTTTAAAGAAACATACAATGCAGATTTAGCTTGAACCTTGTTATAGTATTTTTATAAAAGACGGTAGGTGGCAAAAAGGGCACAGATGAGAGATTTGGAAAAGCCCAGCTCTGTGGGAAGTGGTAGAATTATTCCCTCCTCTGCACGGTTGATTTCCAGCGTGATGTCAGGACAGGACACTGTCATGGAGTTCCTGAGGTGCTCTCTGAGAAAGTAGCATCCCCCAGGGGTCAAGAGCCAAGAATGGGGCAAGATTGTGTGGGTTGAAATCCTGTTTCTGTCCCTTTTCAACTTTTGATTACTGACTAGTCCCACATTTTACTTTTTTCCCTTTGTAAAATGGGGGA